TTTGTTTGTGTTTGTTGTAAAAAATAAAAAAAATATTTAAAAAAATGTGGGGGTATTTAGGTGTCTTTAAGCATGATTCAGTTAAGGACATAATCTGATCTGAAAAGATTGGGACTTTCTTTTCCAACTTTATGTACACTTCAGCTTTGGGCAATGCTCAGTATAGCTTTAGATCTGTCTTCTCTAAGCTGGTGGCCATCAGATGTGATTGGAAACTGGAGAGCTGTAACTGTAACATTCTGGAAGGCATCCAGCTGGGAAAATCCGCTGACCTGCTTAAGAAAAAAATCTGATCAGTGACCCATTCCTTTCTTCCAGGGACCTCTTTTTCTTCTCCACTTACCAAGAGGTATCCAAGATGGTCTGTCTTCTTTCTTCTCATCCTGAATAGGCAGTTATGCTTTCCTATGTCTCTTTTTCCCATTTAGCTATGAGCTGTCCAGCCAACAGTCACTATGAAGTCTGCACTGACACTTGCTCCAACCTCTGTGCCAACATCACAGAACCTCGGCCATGCCCAGAGACCTGCACAGAGGGCTGCCAGTGTGATGATGGATTTCTGTTTGATGGCACTGCTTGTATTCCCAAAGAAAGCTGTGGATGCTTTAGCAATGGACACTATTATCAAGTAACTAATATTTTGGATTTACTTGTGTACTCCATGTTGTTGCTGCCTTTATTTCTTTATTGCATTTATTTATTAAACAAATTTAGATGGCCACCCATTTACCCAAAGGAACTCTGGGTGGCACACCAAATAAAAACCCAGTGCAATAAAGTAAGTGTTTAAATTAGTTCTTTTCAATGAATGATGGGTAAATGGTGGTGGTGATGGTTCTTCAGACTACTCACAATCATGATCCTCAATTCTCAGTATCCCTTCATCAGTATCTTTGAACTTTTGTCATCTTTGAAATCCTTTATGGACTTTTTGCTAAAAATGGACAAAGATGAGTTGGTGAGCTTGGGATTTACTGATTAAAAAGGGTTGTTTATGGGAAGAAGGGATCCATGATATGTGATTTGGGAGGGCGGAAATGGCCATAAACTTGTTTGCTGCAAAGAAGATCGAAGGCTTCTTTAGATATTTTTTTCTTTCTCTTTCTTTCTCTTTCTTTGACTTTTACTGTTTTTCACTTTTTCTTTTATCTTCTCATATCTTTTTGTTTCTTCTCATTCTCTTTTCACATTTTTGTAGTTTTTAATCCTGCATAAAATTCTTCCTCAATAGCAATTACATTAAAAGCCCCCAAAATGCTGTGCTCTTGTTGTGGCTCTTGTACAATTTCCTCTTTTTTTCATAACTTTAGCCAATCAGCACGGCCCAGATCAATGAGCATGATTATTTCTTTATTACAGCATTTCTACACCTCTCTAACCTTTCATGACACGAAGCAATTTTGCAGTAAAAATGAAATCAGTTAGGGTTTAGGGTTGATGCGCTTTCCCTTAAGGATTCCTTATACTTTTGCACAAATGGTGCCTGCCTGTCCTTTTGCACAAATGGTGATACTTCCCAACAACGTGATCCACATTTGCCATTGCATCGTAAACAGAGTGCAAATGATTATTTTTCACATCTTGCTCTTTCTCGTTCATTCCCCCTTAGATGGGTACCTAAGTTTTATGTGAAACTCTCACAGATATGTCCATTCAGAACGGTTTGGGTGCATAGTATAACAGTTCAGATCTCTTTCTTATTGTTATTGTAGATCGGAAATCTGCTCTGACACTGTTCTGTTATTTTGTCTTTCAACTTTGACAACAGCCCAACGAGAAGGTTCTGCTGAACGCTTGCCAGAAGCAGTGTACTTGCATCGCAGGTGAGGGGCTGACCTGTACTGACCACAGCTGTGCCATTCAGGAGACCTGTGAGACCCAAGAAGGAGTCATGAGATGTGTTCAGAAAGGTAACCACAATTTCAGAATGGTGGCTGAAAGGGGTTCTGATTGTTCAGGGTCACCTCAAAATACCATTCTCAGGATATTTATCCAAAGGGAAGAGAATCCAACAAGTGGGAAAAGATGAAATGTACCAATCATATTGTAGAACCGACTCTGGGCCATACTGTGACATTTTGTCCTGCCTGAGGGCCACATGGGGCATGGCTAGGGGTTGCAATGTCACCAAAGTATGAGATATTTTTAAAACCTTTTGGGGGGGATGGGGGGATGGAGTGATAAAAGAGTGAAATTGCTGCCTAGGGGGTGGGAACACAAAAGTTACCATTTCCTCCTGTTTGCCTAGGCTTTATTCTGGCCTTTCTGACAACCAGAAATCAGAAAAGCAGACACAAATCCAAACAGGGAAGCATTCCATTTGCATTTACAAGCAGATTTGTCTTCATTTAACTCTCCTTCTCTCTTTCAGGAACTTGTAATGTAAGTTCCCGGGGGAAGAAATTTGTTACTGCCTTAATGGAGAATTTAAGCGGTTCGAAGCCCGATGAACAGCTTGAGCTGTACATCTCTGGATATCATCCTGCAACCAATATTACAGTGTCAACCAACAATATGAAACTACACAGAACCATTGATGAAGGAGAAATCATTTCCATTGAATTACCGGTCTCCTTAAAAATGGTGGGGACTGACGTCTTTGATAGGATGGTGCTGATTGAAGCTGACAAAGACATCTCTGTCTTCTCCTACAATCATATGCATAATACAGGTGGTGGTACAATTGTCTATCCCATCCACCAGTTGGGACAGTTATATTATGTGGTCACCCCAACAGAAGATGCAGATTATTACTTCAGAGAATTTGCTGTTATAGCCCATGAGGATCTCACAACAGTGACCATCCACCTGAAAGGCAGTGTGATGTTCAAAAGCAAAGTTTACCCTGCTGGGACCAACTTGACGACTCACCTCAAGGCCTTTGAAGCAATTCAGCTCCAAAGTACAGAAGATTTATCAGGC